TGTGGATCTATACATCCACTCCCCATACGCCTTTATGGCGTAGTGCTTAATTAGTTAAGTACACGGACAACTTTACTTTACCTTACAGGTGCTACTAGCTTAGTATGGATACAGTGATTTTGCAAAGAACATGTGACCGCACCTGAGAATTACCATCACTGTCTAGTTCGTGAATATTTGCGGTACTACAAGGGCACAAATGATTTCCGAGGGATACAAACCAAAAATGGGATTTGTGTTAGTCATTTTAAAAATCTACAAATAAACTTCATATTCACACCCTGAAAAATTAAATGAGATTACTAACGTGTATGCATTCCAGAATGCAGATTAACTAAATCCACGAAACACAGTCGCCCTCGAGAACCGAATAATTTCACACAGTCAAGAATTTCCTCGCCTTTCATGGAACCCGAAGATTTATTATCGTATTCAAGACAGCCATCCACTGGTCTCTATCCCGAGCCACACGAATCCAATTCGCACCCTCATATCATATTTCTTTAAGATGCATTTTAACAATTTACGATTATAAAATAAGATCCATTTTAACAGTATCATCTCATTTACGATTAAGGAACAATAATTCCGCACATACGACCTCTCGGTAACAAAATACGCATTTTACGAAGTTAAATAATTGTAGGTGGGTGGACAATATTAAAATTAATCTTAGATAGGATGGGAGGGTATGGATTGGTTTGATCTGGCTCAGAATAAGAGCCAGTGGAGGGGTCTTGTGAAGACGGTAATCAACCTTCGGGTTCCATGAACTGCTGGTAAGTTCTTCAGCATCTGCACACAATTGGTGGCTTCTCAAGAAGGGCTCAGCTCCATGCGTGAGAGTGAAATAATTGTGAAACGAAATACGAAAAGAGTGGCTTGAACATTGTTTTCCACTGGAGTCTTGTTGAAATGTTATTTACACGTTTAGGTGCGCAGTATTCCCCGCAGTTCAAGCCATAGGAGACTGTACTGTCATCTGGTTATTTATCCTGGCCTATTAAATAGTCCTGTCAGTTTTGTCCTACGAGACCGGTTCCTCTAAATGCAGCCAAAACAGAATTGGATGCCCCTGTTTCTGTAGTGAAGGAATTGGCAGTCGAAATCAGGACGATTTTCTACCTACATCAATTCTCAATTATTTTCTCCATCATTTTAAACGTGGAGTATTCTCAACCCGTACTAGCTATCAGAATGCACGTGCGGATAGACTCGCGAAGGAATGTTGGCACGGGTAGTCGTGACGTATCGGTCAGTGAAATTCACGCTGAAACTTAACGAGCCTCTCTCTTAAGCAAAATTCTGGCCATCCTCAGGTCCGACCACTTCATATTTTCGTCTACTTCCCTTCAACCATAGCATAAAGTTGGACATCTTAGCAGGTGCATATCACATACAAGTACCATACTTACTTCTGAACCTGCAATCGGATCTTCACGAAACTCGGTATTGAGTTCAAATGTGCGACGTACATCACACATAAAACGTGAAGCAAAAAACTCCGTGGTCTATAGTCCACAAGCGAACTATACCGACCGAGCGACCGCCGCTTGTCGATGAAGCTAGTGCCAACTTTAGCGGATAGAGGCTGTCGCGTGGCCAGCGCAAAGGATCCCCACGGCCATTACTCTCAGTTTTCTAGACCGGAAGCATGGAAGAAATGAACACAAAATTTTATTCTGAAAAAAAATTCATGAAAACATTCTTTTGTTTTATGCGGCACGTTCACAAAATACGTTCCATGTTTCGAAGTAGCGTGCAGTTTACGAATTCGTCGGACATGTAGATAACGCAGATACTTTAACACAGATTTATGACCGCTATAGTTATATGACAGCCATAAAGGTAAAAGGCAGTTGTCCCTGTGCCTAACTAATTAAGCACTACGCCATAAAGGCGTGTGAGGTAGTGGATGTATACATAGATCGACATTTTCTTGACCTCGGCACTAGCTGAAGGTGAGTCGTCGGCTTCACGCCCCGGCCGCTTTACCCCCGGGAAAGAGGCCCAGGTACCCAATGTATAGGAGGCTGGGTGGACCCCAGAGCTGGTCTGAACGACACGGAGAAGTGAAAATTCTAAGTGCATGTTGTAATTTTTTATCTTGTTTCATTCAACAGTATTATCATGGTTTAACATTTTGAAACACCGAACATATTTTGTGGACACTATTTTCCTGGTAATGTATAAATTCAGTGTGCTGTGTAATGCAAAAGGTTGGCTCCACTGTTAAGAAATGGTGGGGTAAGTTCTATTTTAAGTGATAATGCCACACTTCGAAAATATACAACAAGGAGCTCCCGGTTACATAAATATAAATCTCGTTAGCAGTATGTAAAGTGTTCAAGCAAATAAAAAAAATACTCAACGTCACAAGACGCTTTATGCACTGATGCTGGGGCACGAATGTCCTTCCGAAAAGAAATAATATGCTCCCGAATTAGGACAACTGAAACCACGCTGTGCGTCATACCGCAGGCTACAAAACTTGTTGAGTAGTGAAGGGGATACATTTTGTTGCCTTCAAGGTCGCGCTTTTAGGATTTCTCAACTTCCTGAAGCGTGAACTAAGTGCCCCAGTTAACACTGAAATATAATTTTAATTACGGCCAAAATGTTATTATATCAGCCTTATTAAGGACGAAGTAATCTGATTCTAGTGAATGTTTACCTACGCTGTACTAAGCAAACACTGGAATATATTTTATTTGCTACGCATTCTTTAAAATATGTAGTTACCATAATGTCACTAACCAGTTGGATGTAGAACACACCACGAATAGCCGCAAGGCAATATATCTGTATTACCGATTCTTGAAATATACGGCAATGAGATATCTGAAGGGCAAAACAATTCTTGGAACTGTCATGACGATGTCAATATGAATATTACTTCATTACATGATTGGGACGTAGTGAAAAGCTAACCAGAATCTTTGCTCATCAGCAGGGTCGAATTATGGGCCCTGGGGCAATCAGAATGTGGAGGCCCCTACCAGTAACAACAAAATTGTTTGTCTTTTTTATACTGTGGTCTAGTGGTCAAGAGTTCCTGGCTACAGATCCAGAGGTCCGGGTTCGATTCCCGGCGCTACCAAATTTTCTGAGAAGTAGTGGGTCTGGAACGGGGTCCACTCATCCTCGTGAGGATAATTGAGGAGCTGTTTCAAGGAAATGGTGGCTCCGGTCTAGAAAACTGAAATTAATGAACGTGGGGATTCGCTGCGCTGACCACGCGACACCCTCTATCCGCTAACGTTGGCACTATCTTCGCCAACAAGCGGCGGTCGCTTGGTCGGTATAATTCACTTGCGGACTAAAATCATGGAGTTTTAAATTAGTTTATTTCTTATAACAACTGAACATACAAACGAACTTTTCACAATTTTAGAGACGCAAACGTCTTAATAAAATATGTGGAATCTATTTCTGTTTACTGGAGGCCCCAGCCACTCCCCCTTAACTTCGACCCTGATTAGCGGTTATTTACAAATGATGAACCTTTGTAATAATAAGGGGGAAAGGTCAGAAAGTTTAGCAAGAAGAATGCAATAGTTTGCTTTATCCTTAAAGTATTCATAGGAAACGTCAGGATGACCCCAGATCCCTCCTGTGTTACATTCTCAAAACACACACCACACAGAAACTAAATTCTACAGGATAACATGCGGAAAGACCCAACACTGCTATGTAATTCCTGTTGACATGACCTATCCAAAGGCCACAGGAAAAGCATTCGAGGATGTTCTGTCATTACGTAATACCCGGAAACATTCATTTTAACTGAAGAATCGAATATACAATAGTAATCATAAGGGCATGGAAGGGGGAGGGGCACTCGGTAGCACAGTTGGTTGAAGGGCTATGCTACAAACTGGAAGGCCGAGGGTTCAAATCTCGATGAGGTCACTGGATTTTTTCAATTGACCCTAATCCTTACAGCCGCACTATGGTCCTGGGGTCGACTCACAGCCTCTAACAGAAATGAGTAGTAGGAATTAATTAAATAATTTTCCTGTGGAGTAAAGCGCGGCCGGCGCGTAAGGCTGACAACCTTACCGCCATCTTTGAGCCGATTGTCTAGATAATGTGGGACCCTTAACTTCTCACACCTCTATGGGCCTTCACGGCCTGGTACAAGGATAGCTTTACCTTTTTTTTTTTTTTTACTTTAAGGGCATGGAAGGTGAGATTTCCTAATTACACATGTTTTCTCTTTAGCCAGATACTCATATGGCATCAGGGTGAAGTAAAGCATATAAACTGTTATTCTACAGAAATTAATTTGCCAGAATCTACTTTGAAGATGGAGGCGGAAGGATCCCGCAGACCAATGGTACCTATCAAAATACATGGCGACATACCTAGGAGGATGGTAATCTTCGGTAAGTGTATGGTCATGCATCACCATCAGAACGCAGGACAAAGCATCGATAGCTTCGTAACAGTTGGAAACAGAACCAAGGTGGTATTAACGTTTTTTCTTTGACAATACCTCCCGAATTATGGCAGACCGGCTGCGAAACACTCTGTATATATGACTAATATTTCATTCGAGAATGAGGCGAGGTTCATATAATTTGAAGTGCAGTAACAAATCAAGATTATATTCTGGAAGAAATTACGAGCAGATTAAATTTGGGAACTGCTTGCTGCAAAGCACTTAAGAATCTTTTGTGTTTCCATTTGCTGGGTAAAAACGTGAAGATTTGCACACAAAAAGACTATAATTTTTTATCAGAAATTCTATACGGGTATGAAACTTAAGACTCGCACATTACGGGTGCAAGCTCTTGCAAAATTTCTTGAGCAGGTGAGCGGCTGTTGCTTCTCCAGAGAGGATTCTGGTCCATGAAGTTGCATATAGGGGCAAAGATGGAAGAGAGAAGATTCTGGAAATGGCTGTTATTTGCTGAACACCTGTGGATGATGATGAAGAAGATACGCAGTAAGTTAAATACGAATACAAAGAAATAAAACAGAACATTTCAACTTACCATCGACTAGGTTTCCAGTAGCTTTCTGGGCAGATTTTGACCACTGCTTCCTCATTTTTCGTGACCGCCTTGGACTTCTCCTGCTTCTAGGCCGTCCCTGGCATCTAGAGGAAGGAAAATGCTATATTATTGTCCTGACCAAAGGCAAACAATATTATGTAAGATTTGAGGCTTTCACGGTGGTGACTATGAAGAAAGCAGTCTTCTGGGATTTGGCACCACATATACACGGTGCCAAATCCCAGAAGACTGCTTTCTTCAAACAATATTATGTTTCCCGATCATTACATATTAAAGAAAGTAAAGCGAATAATGTTCTGAAATAATGTTACCTTATTTCAACGAGTTTATCGCTCCTTATCAGTAGCTGAAACCTGATAACAAGACAGTGCACTCACAAACATCAGGCCTTCCAAGCATGGCCGCCGATTACTGTACGGACCTACGATCATTTATATACGATTCACTCGAGAACAGGATGGAGGAGTTTTTAGAGACAGACTTATAAAATAAAAACAAAGACAGGGCACCAAGTATTGCTTCTTTTCTTGACCCATGAACCCCATTTGCATGATGTACTATATCCGTAACTGCCCAGTGACCTCCTTGATCACCTTACCTCCCTATGCAACAGATTCAAACATACTCGAATACAGTATATATTCCATATTTTCTATATTCGGAATGTACGGGAAATGACCTCGACATAACATAGAATGGGCCATCTAACATGTGAGGATGACAGCTCGATTCATCTGGGTCATCTTAAGCACCAGTGGTAAAAGTGATGGGTTCTTGTAAACACAGTAATGGACTTAAAAGAGTTCCATTAAGTGGCGAGGAATTTATTCACCAGCTAAGTACCTATAACTTCTCAGGAAGGATATAGAATCACTCAGCTTATTACAGCTAAATGACACCGTACATCTTAAATCCCTATTAGAAAAATATTAATTCAGTGGCCATTAGAACTTTGAAAGAAACAAACACTTTCCACACAATACAGAATCCTGTAATAAACACTATCATAATGTTATAAATGACAGATATATCGTCAGTCAATTTTCCTGAAGAATAAAAGACTTTCACTGCATTTCCAGCAGTAGCAATATGTATTTATTTCTCAATTTGATGAGAACCACCACTAAACCACTGTGGGCTTGAAATTCTGCTACGAAAGATTATAAACAGCCTAAGAAATCATGTAATTAACTTACACTGTGTGTCGCCATGCAGCAACATTCCTGAGACCCAAATATTCATTTAAGGGGGGGGGGCAGGTTGGATGTCATCAACACTAGAAAGCAACAGTTCGCCTTGAACTTCTCCGATACCCCGGCAGTTCGTGTGCTGTTAAAATGCAGTACTATTCAGTCTATAATTAAGTACTTACGCAGCTACGACCTCTTCACTTCCTTCGCCCTCAGAGTCAGTCATTTCGACGTCCACCCACTCGTCACTCGTCTCGCTTCTTGGTTGTCCAGACCCCATACACGTTAGCTGATACGACAGGACCTCATGGGCACCGTCTTCAGCAGACACTGCGCACATCGAAACCAAAGATTTATATCATCATATCACAATGTTCTTGGTTTTACTCTATGCCGCAAGGTCTTCCTGAAGACTGCTGTCGGTTATTTCGCTGTTAAGGAAATTCAGTGTTCAGAATTACAGGGTTTTTGTTTATGAAGTAGGAGATGCCTTGCGCAAATCTTTTTATCATCTAGCCTTAAGAACTCTGTAATTGACTTTGGGTATTCTTTCTTGCTGTTCTCAGACAAAGCGTCCATCACTGCTGCCCTCTGGTCCTCGTACAATTTGTAATGCCAGAACATTTGCAGCCCGTCGCCAGCATTAGCTTGGAACAAATACTTAGATGTTTGCCTAACAGAATGTCAGTGAAGATATGTTCGTAGTATGCTCATATTTGTATAATAAGGAGAATAATCTGGAACAGTGCTTCTCAACGGTAGAGTCTCTTACCTACAGATCACGACGTATTATAAAAATATATGCAAAACAGGTAAGTCATGTAGTGCCTCGAACGAGGACAACATGGCCGGCGCTCTGATCGTGGCGCAACAGCAGGTTTCTGCTCGCTAAAAGACAATACTGCTCCTCAACAATGCTTACAGCTCAAGGCCTTTCACAAACTTTGTTTCTTCTTGTTCTATCTCCTTGAGAATTTAGGTAACAGCGAAGAAATTGAAGAGTACTTGCTACACTCTGGGACGTAATACCGTACAATCTGGTAGACTTTTACCGACGAAGGAACCTGTAGTTAGCCTACAGCACAGAGTCACACGAAGCAGCTATTCATTAAGAACTTAACCTCAAAATTATTTTGACACATCCACATCATAAAAAGTTAATGACCCTAAGAACGAGTTCTGACTTTCTTTAGGCAACTCAGCGATGCTGGTAACCAGTCCAGGTGAGTACAACTGTCCTGTGACCAACCAACACGGGTGGACAGGCTTCGAAGGAATACAACATTACCTTCCGCAATAATTTTAAGACAAGGCTCACCACTTCACCCCCGGCTAAGGAAGTGCCAATTCTGAAGAAGGAAATGTCGTTTAAGTTGGCCATGGGGCTAAAGTTGTTACACAACTGAGCCCTTCTACTGGTTTGCGACGAAGCGCAATCGACACGAGACAATGTGTTTTATATTGCAAAGAAAAGTGGAGAGACAAATCCTTGAATATATGCAATTCTGTATGCTTTAGTGGTGATGAATCCGAATAAATAGTGTAAACATTCTGGAGCAACATTCTTGAAAGCCCTATTATTTATGAAGGACCAAAAATTTCATATACAATGGTGTGTGTGTGTGTGTGTGTGTGTGTATATATATGCAAAAAGCAGCCTATTACGAAATTACCCTAATGGCACTGCGGAACTGTTACGTCTATTAATTACCTACGATGTGCAATAAATGTTATGCCCGATTCATAATGTGGCATGTAGACCCGTTGCCAGGCAACGACCGCGAGATAAGCAAAAATACAACTGTTACTAAGCAATGGCGTCACAGCAACAGATAAATGGTGTCTTCTGTGCTGTTCGTGCAGGATAGTTGGAACAATGCGTTAGTTGTGAGATAATCGCCTGCCGGTAAGAACGTGAGCACGGAAACAGATGACACTGTTAGAATTCGTCACCAGACAATGACTGGTGCGGATATAGCAGACTAAGAACACTTAGTACGTGCTATAGTGAACTGTAAAATGTGCGACTTAGCGATAGCGCTATAGTTACTTGTAGTTATGATCTGTAAGTGTTCAATAAATCCAACTGCAGATTCCAAACCCCGTCTATAGTCACATTCCATAAAATCGTGACAACATCAAATATTTCTTTGATACAACAAATATGCTAATTAAGCTCTATTCCTTGCAGCTGTGTATTGTGTTACTTTTAAGAATTCAAAGCTGTCTGCGTGCTTGCCTCATTTGTCCTTGGTACTGCGAAAGTATACAAGTTTCCCCTAATATTGCGAAACTGAGTATATAGTCCGTAAGCCGTAATTAAAGCATATCATAGGTACTGGTATAGGTACCTTTCAACATCTTAGGTCTATGTCACGCGACGTGTTAAAACAGACCACAGAACGGGCTTTTAAAATAGAACGATTTAGAAAATGTAGGCGCAGTGTAACAATTCTGACGAGCTTCCTCTGTAGCTGCTCCGTATTTGCAGTTCCATAAGTTTTTTTTATTGCTATTGGGGTGGGACTAAGTCCCTTGTATTGCAGCCTCTTCTGGCCTATTGTACCAGCCCAAGATGATAGGTGAGGGTGATTGTGGAGAAATTGGTGGAATGAAGATTGGCAGGGGAAACCGAATTACTCGGAAAAAACCTGCACCAGTGCCACTCTGTCCACCACAAATCCCACTTGACCAGGCCCCGTGATCGAACCCGGGACGCCGCGGTGGGAAGCCAACGACTAACCGCTTGAGCTATGGCGCGGCCTTCGTAGTGGTAACTTCCGATGCTGTGATGTATAGAACGATCAACAGCAGTCGAACGGTTCTCGTGCAATGAGACGACACAACATGAAAATTAATTTCAACTGCTTTAAAACCCGAAAGACTTACAGGAGAAGTACATCAGGAATGAAAAATGAATTTTATCTCCATGTTTACTAAAACATTTTCTCTCCGCAAAATATTTACCGAGTTACGCTCTAGATGTGTGCATAAATGCACTTAGGTCTTGAAGGACACGGACTTCTGAGTTGTATTACCGTGTAGCTCGCAAAAAGCCAAGTGATCTGCTTACCGCTTGCTTGCTGGTTTCTTTCTCAGCTTACTCTTCGAGCCTAAAGGTGGAAGCGATATGTTTCTTCCGAACTACATGGCAATACAATCCAGAAGACCTTATTTTTCTTAAGGCACGTCCACATTACTCGTGCTCGCCAAGCTTGTGCTCGTCGGGAGACTCGTCTGGCTTTTACTTGTGCTCGTAAATCTTCGTCCGCACTACTTCAGTTGCTCGCCAGGCTTCGGCGCGTGAGGATCCGTATATTTACTCGTAGTGTGTATAGGCTGTAGTCGTATTTTAATTTATTGGCTATAGTTTTTAAATTAAAATTTTTAAATTTGCTTGTCTCGTGACTTGTCATATCGTCCACATTACTCGCGAGCATAGCGAGTCACACGAGCACGAGTAATGTGGACGCGTCTTTAGATAAACCTGTGAAAACCTGAAATGCACCACGTAGGTTTTCACTATAAAGTATAGTCAGTTTTTTGGTACAATAGGCCAGAAGTGGCCGCAATACAAGCGACTTAGTCCCACCCCACTAGCATAGTCAGTTTTTACTAAAACTAGGCTACGCACGAAGCAGAGTCAGCAAATAAGTCACAAATTCAAGTAAAATAGCTGCAATGGATGTAATACGTTTTGTATGTGTATCACTAGGTAGAAGCACAGTCCAGCTTCATGACAGTCTAGGTACCAGACGCACATCCGCATGTTCAGAGGCTGATTTCAGTAGTTAAAATGGCGACCGTGTTTGAGGAGTGGATTATCGAAGAGAGACGTTCTGTTGTGCGTTTCTGTGGGCAAAATGACTTAATGCAAATGATATTCATAAAAATAATGTTTCCTGTTTATGGTGGGAAGTGTTTGTCGCGTAAAGCGGTTCACAACTTGGTGGCAAGCGTTTCACTAATGACGAAGAAGTTGAAACGGAGGTGCAGAAGTGGCTGAGGGAGCGGTCAAAAGAATTCTATGTTGTCGGTTTCGACGCATTGGCAAAGCGATGTGACAAGTGTACGAATGTTGGTGGAGAATATGTCGAGAAATAATTTTTTTTCCAGGTTCGAATGTCACATGTTTTGCGTTTTACATCCGTTTGTGTATTTACTGGCTCTCCCTCAAAGTAAAATTTTAATATAATGTCAAAGTTTTAAAATATTAAAATTTCTTAAATGGTTCCTCAAGTGATATGTGCGAAGAGGCGGATAGACAGACAATACAAATATAATAGGCGCATTTTTTTGCAACTTTTCGCTGCGAAAGCACCAAGTTATGGTTGTCGTAAGTACAAAAACAGATTAATACATTCATATAGAGAAACTTCGAAGTTGCAAGTTATTTCGAAGACCTTTAAAACAAGTTGAAATAAGTAAATAAGCAAAACAGAAAGAAACAAGTCAATGGGTCAAGAGAAAAGAAATGTGATTGCATTAGAGTGAAAATGATTAAGGGGAAATCTTAGACCTCTGGTGAGGTTTTACAGTGAAGAGATACTGAGGTCCACTGATACATCTTGAACTGATTTCAAGTGAAGACAAACTTGTTTAAAAATAAAATCTAAGTGAAATACAATTTCTCCATACTTTTTCACCTTTATTAGCAGATAACCAAATATTTCTTCCTCACAAAAGGTAAAGATGTCCTTGTGCACTATGCAATGGACACATATGGGAGAGTGAAGGTATAGCTCTAGCATTCTTGACCTTGGCACTAGTTAGAGGTGAGTGGTCAGCTTCACGCCCCGGTCGCTTTACCCCCGGTACCCACTGGATAGGAGGTTGGGTGGGCCCCAGAGCCGGTCTGGACGACGTGGAGAAGAGAAAATTTTTGATCCTGCCGGGACTCTTTTTAACTACGAACTCTTGGTAGTCCAGCCCGTAGCCAGTCGCTATACCGACTGTGCTATCCCGGCTCACTTTATGTGCCTTCTAGCTCAATAAAGAGAGGGAAATTTCTTGATCAGTTGAGCAATTACCACTTTATCAAGAAGGCCTCTGCGCCACTAAGTTGCTAGCCTACGTACAAGAAAGTGTAGCATGGGGAAACTCAACCTTTCATAAGAAAATCTGCCACACGAAATATGGGTGTTCTTTCTGAAAGCAGAGAGAAACCGCTCCTGCAGTCGGTTGATGACGGCCCTGGGGCCAAACTGTCAAGGTCCAAGGAGTGGTTGATTAAGCTACATAACACCGCACGTAGTTCAAGCACGGTAATGTGTACACCAGCGTAAGAGTAACTTTCTCTCATCTGTTACCATAACATCATGTCTCTCTAG